TATCATCCCCACTAGGAGATCAAGGTTGACGTCATCAGTGGTCAGTCATATTCTAACCTGTACCCTTGATATGATGTGATGAAAATGGCCCCTTCCTCTTTGGTCTTCCTCCCCCAAATGCATAACCTCAGTCCAATCATGGGAAAAACTTCAGACAAGCCTGTGTTGAGGGACATTCTACAAAATACTTGACCAGTACACCTCAAAACGAACAAAGTCACCACCAATAAGAAAAGTCTGAGAAACTGTCACAGTCTAGAGGAGTCTAAGGGGGCATGATGACTAAATATAATGCGTTTTCTTTGAGGGGACCCTGGAACAGAAAATGGCTATTAGGTAAAAACTAATATAAATAGTATATTATTAAATTTAAGTAATATTAGATTTTATATTTATAAGAAAATATGAATAAAGTATGAACTTTAATAATACTGTACAATATTGGTTCATTGGTTGTGAAAAAATGTATTTAACTAATATAATAGGGGAAACTGGGTGCAGGGTATATGGGAACTCCTTTGAAGCTTTTCTGTAAATCTAAAACTATCCTAAATTTAAAATGTATTTAATAAAGAAAATAGAGGAAGGGAATACCATATCTTATTAATGGAAATGCAAAATGGTACACCCACTTTGGGAAGTTGTCTGGTAGTTTCTTATAAAGTCAAACATATACTTACCCTATGACTTGGTAATTCCATTTCTTGGTAATTATCCAAGGGAAATGAAAACCTATGTTCACACCAAAACTAGTGCACAGACACTTTTACGATGGCTTTATTCATAATTGCTAAAAACTAGAGACAATTCAAACATCCCTCAAATAGTGAAAGGACAAATGAACTGTGGTACCTTCACACAGTGGAATATTATTCAGCAATAAAAAGGAACAAACTATCAACACACGCAACCACATGGACAACATGAATCTCAAATGCCAAGTCGAAGAAGCCAAACTCAACAGCCTGCATACTCTATGAATCCACTTATATGACATTTTGGAAAAGGTAAAACCAAAGGGGCATAAAACAGATCTTGTCAGGTTCTGGGGGTTGGGGGAGGTGATAGACTACAAAGGGCCATGGGAGAATAATGGGAAGTGATGGTATTGTTCTATGTCTTGATTGTTGTTGTGGTTGTGGTTGTATGACTATGTATTTATCAAAACGTACAGAACTAAACACTAATGAAGGTGAAATGTACTGTGTGTAAATTATATCTTAATTAAAAATGAAGTCAGGTGTGATGTCCTACGCCTGTAATTTCAGCTAATCTGGAGACTGAGGCAGGATGATCACTTGAGCCCAGGAGTTCGAGGTTGCAGCGAGCTATGATTGTGCAACTGCACTCCAGCCTGGGTGGCAGAGTGAGAGACTCTGTCTCTAAAAAAAGAAAAAGAAAAAAAAAGAAGAAGAAACTCAAGGATGATTGCCACTTTACAAAATTATTCTCCAAGGGATTTGTTTAAATAGCACTCTCACCTATTGCCTTTTCAGTGATTTCATTTCCAAATGTTTAGCTTGCCAAAAGGGCACTTATGTGGTTTTATTACTGTGCTGCTTGCTGTCTGGAGGCTCAAAACTGGAAGCCATCATCAAGGGACATAGACACAAAGAGCTGAGACAAAGAAGCTAGCACAGAGGACAGCTAGGCTCCTGTCTTAACAATGATTGCATTAGCTAAGTGCTTTATAGTCACCTGCTTTTGATTATATCATGAAGCTGATTAGACCTTACTTTTATGAGCCTTCCAGTTTACAAAGCTCTCTCATATGCGTGCACTCATGTGATCCACACAATACCTGGGCCACTTAGGTGGGACAAGTGTTATTTCCATTTTAAAAGGAGAGAGAGGTGCTAAGAGTTCTCCTACCTCTGTGTGCCTGCACTCTCTTGACCTGCTTCACAGGCTGGGCAATTTTAAATGCATGGTAATTTGGTGTGATAGATATAACTATATTTTACAGATAGGGCACATAAATTATTTTACAGATAAAGAAACTGAGGATCTGGGAATTTCCCAAGGTCATTCACCTAAGAAGGACCAGAGCCAAGAGTTCAGAACTTGGATGTCCTGGTTCCAAGCCTACTTCTCTTTGTGCTGTCTTGTATGCTGGCTATAGGATTTGTAAGCAGAATGTATTTAAGTTAAGGATATTTTGTTGCAAGTCTTCATGTTGTTAATGTATCCGTGAATGGAGAGTTTTAATTGGCTTCCATTATTAGAGCCAGATTATTATAAGACTACTTTACTCACTGTCATTTTTACTAGTGACTTTGGGAGCTTGGAAGACGGTGGTGCAACGTTGTGTTTCTCTTGGCTTCTTATGTTGGGAGAGTGTCTGAACGCATGAGCACTGTGTGTGTGTTGGGAGCTGTGACTTCCAGAAAAAAGAGATCACCAATGTAAACATAAGAAGGTGTGATTTTTCAACATACACTACAATGTTATATCAAAATGAGCATTTTTTCTTTCAGTTGCTTTGAGTGGACATTTAATTTGGTTGCTTTTTAGTTACGTCTCGTTTTTATGCAAAATAGTAATGCCACCTTCCGAATCAGATTTAGCTTAGAATTGCTTTTCTTTGTTTCCTTGGTGGGCTCTGAGCTCCTCCTGGGCAGAGCTGAACTTTCTCAGTGTGTCCTCAGTATCTAGCACAGAGCCCGGCCCATTGGCACTGTTTAGACTTTGTTTGTTGAGTAGGACTGAACCAAGACTTATTCATCAAAACCTTGACCATAATTGGGCGGGAGGCTCAGGAAAAGTCCTTCCCCGGCCCCTCAAATGTCTCTTCAGAATCCCTATTGAGTGTTATCATCCGTCAGCCCATCCTCAGTTTTCCTTGTCAACAGCTTGAAAAATCTTTTAAAAATACCCTTAAGGGGCCGGGTGCAGTGGCTCACACCTGTAATCCCAGCACTTCGGGAGGCCAAGGCGGGCAGATCAGATCACAAGGTCAGGAGATCGAGACCATCCTGGCTAACACGGGGAAACACTGTCTCTACTAAAAAAATACACACATACACACCCAAACTTAGCCAGGCGTGGTGGCACGTGCCTGTAGTCCCAGCTACTCGGGAAGATGAGACAGGAGAATCATTTGGACCTGGGCGGCGGAGGTTGCAATGAGCCAACCTCGTGCCACTGCACTCCAGCCTGGGCAACAGAGCGAGAATTCGTCTCCAAAAGAAAAAAAAAAAAAACCTGTAAGGAAAATGTTAGTGTGTGAGTGAAACTAAGAATTAATACTGAAGGAAAATGAAAGAAACTCTAATCCCTGTTGATGTTTGGCCTAATTTAGAAGAACGTGAATGAGTCTTGTTCCAATCCCATCAGAAATAGGTTCACATGTTCCTATTCCTTCAGAATGGCCACAAGATGTAGTTACCTTGTTCTCACTGTGTGATGGAAAGCCTGTTGGGCTAAGAGTCTAGCAACAGGCTTCTATCCCTAAGTCTGTGCAAACCTGAATCTATTGCTTGTTTACATAATCTGTAAATGCAAGTGCTAATTACTAAGTGAATTCAGCTATAACATCATTCCCACCACAATTTATTAAGCCAACTCCACCTGTTGCTCAGTTCCAGGCAAGAGAATTGTTCCTCTTCTCACATCCCTTCAGACTCACTCCCAAGGTAACCCTCACTCCCAAACTGACCAGGGATTCTTAAACCTTTTGGTGTGTGGGTGTCATCTCTGTTTCCTTTGCCTGTGAGCCCCCCAGGAGTGGTGATCCTGTCAGTTTTCTTCTGCCTCCCACTGTGCCTGGCACCAAGATCAACGCACAGTGGGCCCTAGAGGGATTTTTAGAAAGAAATCTTTTAGGATAAGGAGGTCCTTCGCTTACAGTACAAGCTTTCAAAGGCTAGATGGCACTGTTGCTAGCACCAAATCAGGTGTGTTCTGAATATCAGTGGTGAGGAAGCCAGAGGAGAGAGCAGGGGCCCTGGAGCGCTCACCGCTGAGCCGCATTCAGACACCTTGCAGAAGTACTGGTGGATTCTTGCCGTACTGGCGGGGAGTGCTCTGCCATATTCTCGGCACCTTCACAAACACGGCTTCAGATGGTCTTCCCAGCTACCTTGTGTAGTAGGCAGGACAGCTGTATCCATTCTAATTTTATAGAACTGCAGCTCAGAGGAATCAAGTGCCTGAACTAAATTTATACAGCAGAGCTGTTTAATTAGCAGAGCTGTTTGCCATTCATAGCTGTTGGCAGCCCCTCCCCTGTCCCCCACCAAATGAGGGTCCTCAGAGCATGCTGAAGGAGGACTCTGGTTAGTGATACAATTGTCCCAGGATAATGGCCCGGGTGAACTGGACCCAGTCCAAGGGGAAAAAGGTAGGATTCTCAGCCAAGTTGATTGAATGGATCAGCTTAACCTGTGCCTCAAAATGTTTGGATTTGTGACAAGGGAGAGCACATAATACTACATGTAGCCTCTTTGAAGAACAAAATTGTGGTAATTTGCACAATTATTAGGCTCTAAGATCAGTGGTTGATGTTTTATTTAACAGATGATCTATTTATGGGATGCTGCCCTGTGGTTGGGTTGTTATCTGTCATTTGTCCATTGCTTTACTGTATTCACATGTTTCTTACTAAAACAAAACAAAACTGTCCTGTGCAGTAGGCAGGGCAGGTGTCACTACTGTGCCCAGTTTACAGATGAGGAAATAAAAGGTCAGAAATGTTAATAAGAGACATATCCAGGATCACACAGCTGATAAGTGGTTGAATTAGAACTTCAGCCCAGTGTGAGGTTGAAGTAAAATCTTACCCTTTTTTCATTGTAATTTTTCCAGGCTATTCCAGCTTATCTAGAAATTCTAAAATTAGGAGAGTTGTTGATAATATGGAGAGTAAGGCATCAGTGACTAGAAATATATCTATATAGGGTGATAATGATCAATCATATGCAAATATATGCAAATTGAGAGCAAATTAATATCTGTTATTTGTGCCCTCTGATTGTCTCTGCTCTCCTGTTTCTCCCCAGGATGATGAAGATAAACTGACCTGGAAGGATCGTTTCCCAGGTTACCTGATGAACTTTGCCTCCATCTTATTCATGGTAATTTCTTTGAGGGACCACTTGCCTGTGACTGCATGCATGTAGATGCTGTTATGTGACTATTGTGGATATTATATTCTGCTAGGAAAATCATGAGAGGTTGGTAAAGGGAGAGCCACACTCCTGTGTAGAGGGGCCGGATCTTGTCTGATAGTGAGGCCATTGACCACACAGGCTGGAAGTTGGAACTCCCGGGGAGTAGGTTGCCAGATGGTGCTTCCACATCGAGACAGACCAGAAACTTGGAGAAGGAATCAGGTAAGATGGCTGCAATTGCAGCAGCCTGTCTGGGCTGTGGGGTGGCTCTCTCTGACGTCTATGGATAGACCAGAGTCTGGAAGCCACAGGAGATAGCCAGCTTGGGCTCGGTAACTGTGATTCTTCAGCTTTCCTATGGTTGCTGGGTTTATTTCCTTGTGCTGTACCTTAGAGTTTGGTACAGCCCTTTTGCAAGACCCAGATGGTCTCAGCTGTGTCAGGGAAAGCTGAGGGAAAATCCTGTGATTCGTATTTGAGTTAGATCAATAAGATGGTAGCAGTTTATTCTTGTTTGCCAGCGTGGGCAAGACAGCAGTACCTGAAGCTAGAGGACCTCGGGGAAGGCAAAAATCAGAGGACAATGTTAGGGTTACTAATACCCCGTATCTCTTTATGGAAATATTCCTTACGGTATTCAAGATTGGAGGTTGTGCTTTGTAAAGGAGTGTGTGTACTCACAGCTCAGAGCATTTCTAAGGAGGCCTACATGTTAGTTGCAGGTTGAAAGAGGGATCACTTATTCCAAAAATTGGCCTGGAAATTGTTGTAACTCTGACTCTGGCCTGAGGGGGTTTTTTTGTTTGTTTGTTTGTTTGCCATTATTTTTGCCATCATGACCTTTAAGTACAGGAACTGTGTTTTCGTCTCAGAAATGTAAAAGGTGAAGGAAACTTAGATATCACCAATTCAACTCCTCATTTTTCAGATGAAGTACAGAGTTGATGGGTGCCTTGCCACAGCTTAGAAGTCTAAATTTGCTTTCTTTTCATTGCTTAACAAGTGCAAGGCATGTGGAATTTATTCAAGAATATGTGGTGAGTTGCCGTGTGTTAAGCTGTTATGACATAAAGTTTAATTTAGCACTTCAAAGCCTCCCACAATATGCATATTATTGTTAAAGAGTTTATTCCTTCATTCAATATTTAATGAGTCAAACGATGTGCTTGACACCATTCTTAGACACTGGGGATACAGCAGAAAACAAAACAAAATAATCCCTCTCTTAAAAAATTTGCAGACAATAAATAAGTAAATAAATAACAATAAATAGGTAAAATAGACTTCTGTCTCCCGTAGTAGTAGGTTAGGATATTTGTAACTTCCCATTTTGCTAAAATTTACAAAAAAAATTGAATGAATATATTTTTCAATCTTCTCAAAGCCTCAAAGGGCTGACAGAATAGGAAGTAATACCAGAGGCTAAAATCTAAAGGAAAATGGGAACCAAGGAAACAAATGCCTGGGCACTAGAGCTACTTTTACCTTGAGAACATTTGCCCGTCTAGGCAAACCTAGGCTTTGGTTTTGGCGGTTTTATGGGAGCAAGCAGGATAGAAATTAGGGATGACGGATGGCCCCAAGTGGGGATTGTAACAGGATGTCCTCACCAAATTGAATCAGAACTCCAAAGGGCTATGTTCAGAGTAAAGATGAAACTGAACTATACACACCCTTTCCCACTTATGAGACTACAGAAAAAAAATTGTTATGGATCTAAGCAGAAAAGGGAGGAAAGGGGAAACAAAACTCTGTTCTTAAGAAGTGGCCAGGGGCAATCCCTATTGTGGCTTTCTATCCTGGGTCACCACGTAAGAGGATCAGGGAACCTCAGGTTGTGAACTTAACACTAGTAGGGCTCCCAGGTGCCCAGAAGAAGATGAATATGTACTATTTATGCCAGGCCTCAAAAAGTCACCCAAAATAATTTTTCAAGGGCAATGAAGAGAACACAGTCAAAAACAACTAATTGCTCAAGAAATTGAAGCACCATGAGAAAGAACCAGCGGGAACACACAGCAAAGACCAGAGATATGAAATTATCAGTCACAGGTTAAAACAGCAAACTTAAAAATATACACAAGGAATAAGAAGCTATTTTGAAAATTATCTAGCAGATGTGAAAACTAACCAATAAACCTCTATCTGCTAGAAATAAATATATATATATAGAAATTAACAAAAATATTGTTATATATATGATTTTTATATACCATGTATATATGTGTATATATGTGTGTATACACACACACACCCACGACCATGGATAGATTTTGTTTTTTTTCTTGAGACAGAGTCTGATTCTGTCACCCAGGCTGGAGTGCAGTGGTGCAATCTCGGCTCACTGCAACCTCCTTCCCCCGGGTTCAAGTGATTCTCCTGCCTCAGCCATGGATAGACTTAACAACAAGTTAGACAAAGCTGAAGACAGAATTTGTAAACTTCTATACAGGCTGGAATAAATTATCTGTAATACAGTATAGCGACACAAAAAATTGGCAATATGGAAGACAGGTTGAAAGAGAACAGGTAATGAATGAGATATAAGGACTGGTGGTTTCCTAAGTTGTTGCAGAATGCCAATCCACAGATTGAAGAATCCCAATGAAACCCAAGCAGAAAAGGTAAAAAGAAATCTGTATCTAGATATATCACAGTGAAATTGTAGAGTGTATGAGACACAAGAAAAGTCTCAAAAGCAACCACAAATCCAAAGGCAAATTACCTTCAAAGGAAAGACACCTGGACTTAAAACTGATATTTTATAGCACATTGGAAGTCAGAATACAATGAAAAGCCCTCTTCATGTGCTGAAAACAAAACAATTTCTAACTGAGAATTCTATGCCCAAGAAAAACATCATGTAGTGATAAGGATGAATTAGAGATATTTACAGACAAATAAAAACTGAGAGTTTGCTATCAACTGAATCTCTCATTAAAAGAAATTCTAGGCCGGGCGCGGTGGCTCAAGCCTGTAATCCCAGCACTTTGGGAGGCCGAGATGGGCGGATCACGAGGTCAGGAGATTGAGACCATCCTGGCTAACACGGTGAAACCCCGTCTCTACTAAAAAATACAAAAAACTAGCCAGGCGAGGTGGCGGGCGCCTGTAGTCCCAGCTACTCGGGAGGCTGAGGCAGGAGAAAAGTCTAAACCGGGAGGCGGAGCTTGCAGTGAGCTGAGATCCGGCCACTGCACCCCAGCCTGGGCGACAGAGCAAGACTCTGTCTCAAAAAAAAAAAAAAAAAAAAAAGAAATTCTAAGAATGTGCCTTGGATATGATCCCATATGGAAGACCATGGTTTTAGAAGGGAATGAAGAGCTTTTAAAGTGGTAAATATGTGAGAAAACCTATATGAACCTTGACTGTAAAAATAATGATGCCAATTTTCATGAAGTTAAAGAAGATAGAACTAAAATATATGCAACAATAATATGTAAGTTGGGTGGGCAATAAATAGAACAATAATGTTCTAAGGTCTTTAGATTGTCCAGTCGATCAACTGATTTTAAGATTTATATGGAAGCACAAAGGCTAAGAAGAGTCAACAAACTCTTGAAGGATGGATATGTTACTCTAATTATAAAACTACAATAAGTAAGATAATGTTATATTCTTGTGGGAAGAGATAATTAGACCAACGGAATAAAATAGAAAACCAAGAACCAGATTAATGAAAGTGGCACTGCATATAAATGGGGAAAAGAATGAACTTCTCAATAAATGCTTCTGGGACAGCTGGGTGTCCATACAGAAGAAAATAAAACTGGGCCTTATTCACACAACTCAAAAACATCAATTCTAGGTGTATTTTAAAGATGAACTGTGAAAGGGAAAACAATCAAGTTTTTAAATATATAAGAAAAAAATATTTTCATGACCTTGGGGTAGGGAAGAATTTCTTGAGAAAGATACAAAAAGCACAACCATAATAAAATGCTGGTAAATATGACTATATTAGAATTAAGAATTTAAGTTCATAAAATACCTAATACACTCTGTGAGAAGACAAATTATCAGAATGGGATAATGTATTTGCAACAACTATAACTCAAAAGAATTACTCTTAACATAAAGAATTAAAAAACATGGAAAAAGGTAATTCAGTATGAAATAGGAAAAAGATGAATATGTACTTCACAAAAGAGGAAATCCAAATGGCCAATAAACCTATAAAAGAGTACCCAGTCTCATTAGTAATCCTGAAAATTCTAATTTAAACCACAATGAGATACCATATATGCCCAAAAGTCTGTAAATAACAAGTGTTGGAAAAGATCAAAAGAGCATCTTAAACTCTCCTATTGGGAGTATAAGGTGAAAAAACAAAAACACTTTGGATATAGTTTGGCATTATCTAGTGAAACTGAAAGTTTCTGAGAAATTCTACTCCTGGGTATCTGTCTTAGAAAAACTTGTGTCCATGAGCAGCAAAATACATGTACAAGGATGTCTATGGAAGCCCTGTTTATAATAACTCAACCTGGAAACAGCCCAAATGCCTGTCACCACCAGAATTGATACATAAATTGAGGCATATGTATACAATTAAATACTATACAGTCATGAAAATGAGCAAACTAATAGTTATGTATAACATCAAGGGTGAAAAAAACAAGGTGAAAGAATATATACAGTTTGAATCTACTCATAGTGTTCAGAGACAGTACTCAACTATATAGTTTAAGGATGCATACCTTGGTGTTAAAACTATCAAATGAGCAAGAGAATGATTATCACAAAATTCTGCACAGTGGTTAGATCCAAAGGAACAGCAAGGATGGGAGGCCATGTGTGTGTACTGGGGAGAAGGGAATTCAAAGCTGCTGGCAGTGCTGGTCTGGGCTATACTGGTGTTTGTTTTATTCAGTGTGTGTGTGTGTGTGTGTGTGTGTGTGTGTGTGTGTATAAAATGGATTTTTCTGCATGTTCACAATAAAATTTAAAAAGACACAAAATGCATATATTAAATGGGTTGGTCAGGTAAGTTCTCATTAAGGTGACGTTTTATCAAAGATCTGGAGGAGGTGGAGGAGCCAGCCACATGGATATTCTAGGGGGAACATTCTGGGCAGAGGAAACAGCAAGAGAAAAGGCCCAAGGGGAGCAATGCCTGGCATCAGGAGAGACAGCAAGAAAGAGCCACAGTGTGGCTGGAGCTGAGCACCCTGCAGGGGGTAGTGCAAACGGGGACACAGTTAGAGAAGTAATGAGGAGCC